GAGGGAGAGAGGCAGGAAGGAAAGAAGGCCAGAAGGCAGGAAGGCAGGAAGGAAGGAAGGTAGGAAAGCAGGAAGGAAGGAAGGCAGGAAGGAAGGGCGAGAGGCATTTCTCCTGTGAGTTGAGTCACCAAGGTGAAAAGGTAAAAGGTGTAATTCTGGCTCATTCCCAGTAGACAGCTCCCAAAGCATGGAGGGGACAGCAATGCTGAATGGCCCTTAGGGAGATTGTTCAGGGGTGGACATGGCTGTGTTTTGTTACATTCAATGATCTTAAAGATCCTTTCCTCCCTGCACAATTCTGTAACCCTGCAGAAACCTTCAAGTGGTGGCAGAAACCCTCTCCTGATGCCAAACCCTGTAGGAGCCCTGACCAGGCTTGTCAGGGACATGCAGGTCTGGCCGGCTTCTTGCCCACATCAGCAAATGAGTGGACAATGGTGTCATGGTTTGAGATAGCCCCAACATCCAATTCCCTAGCTCCATTTCCCCTCCCACATCTCAACCTAATGTGAGAGAGGTTTTTCCAGACAAAACACACCAGACTCAAAGTGGGGAAAAGGGAATATATTACAATGACTGTACAAATAAATACCATATCACATTATACACATGATCACAAACTATCTCTACCATGACATATGTATTTACAATGGATCAGATCTCTTCTCTCCTCCAAATAAAAGTCCAGGAGGGAAAGAAGGACAGATCCCTTCCAGTCCTGAACAGCAGCATCCTCTGAGGCAGCAGGTTTCTTCTTCTCATGCATGCAGCAGCTGATAGCTGGCTTTCTGCCAGCATCCACGAGGGAGGTATTCAAGCTCCCCCGGCCCCATCGCCTCACAACCGAGGGGTCTTCCGTGGTCTTCGTAACCCCAGACAAGGTCGTTTCACCACGTCATATCACGAAGACACAGGGGGGTCTTCGTGACGGTCTGGTATCTCCAGGAGATTCAAGCTCCTTGCAGGGCCTCTGTGCCCTGTCTCTCAGGTTGCCACCGTGGCAGCAGTGCGAGGGGGGGGAGCCAAGGTCGCCCCCCCCCCACATTCCATCTGGCCGTCCCGGTCCAGCTGCGGGACGCTGTGAGCTTCTCAGCTCCTCTCTCTCCGGTGCTGCATGTCTAAAACTGCTCTCCAAAATAGGAGTCCATGTCCCTCTTCTCCAAGAGGGGTCTCAAGGGAGTTTTGGGGGAGTGTGGTACAGTCTTACCCCCAAGAACTCTGTAGCTCTCAGCTGCTGGCTCTCCTTTCCTCGACTCTCCTTCCAGGAGTCTCCTCTGCAGTGCTGCATGTTGCTTCTGCTGCTCCTCCAGTTCAGGTCCTTATCTCTGGCTCTCTGCCACCGTTTCTCTGGTCAGCATCGGCTGCTGCTCTGTGCCCATGGAGAAAACATCTCCCGGCATAACTACAGGCACCTAGCCCAGCTTTATGCTGTTCCAGGTCCCTGCAGCCCCCCAGCCAGGGGCTGGGAGGGGGGCCAGAGGCCCCAAGGGGCTCAGAGCCCCTTCCTCGTGGCTCTACAACATGGCCACCTCTCCTACAACAACCAAACTACAACTCTTCTTTTCCGGTCTGGTTGTGGTATGTTTACATTTCTGCAGGAGCGCCCATTGGGCAGAACTTCAAAACTTCCAGGGGTTTCCACCCCTTGGGGTCTACCACTTCTCTTAGCCTCTGGGGAGAACAAGGTTCAAACCACTACAACACTCCACCCCTCGCTCCTGCGAAATGTCAACATATCACAACAACTGAAAAAAAACTCTAATCAACATTCAATCTTCAATAAACTAAAATATAATCAAAATCTCTCTACTACACATCAATATAGCATTATCACAAACTTAACTCTACTCTTAATACTTAACTTACATTACTATAGATAGTCTTACTTACTCTACAATGGTACAGTCTGTGTTTTGTCTGGAAAACTCTTTCTGTTACCACAAGCATCATGGCTCTTATCTCTCTCTCTCGATGGTTCGCAACCATCCCCCTCGATGGTTCGCAACCATCCTCTGCTACCATTTATGTCATGGTTTGAGATAGCCCCAACATCCAATTCCCTAGCTCCATTCCCCCTCCCACATCTCAACCTAATGTGAGAGAGGTTTTTCCAGACAAAACACACCAGACTCAAAGTGGGGAAAAGGGAATATATTACAATGACTGTACAAATAAATACCATATCACATTATACACATGATCACAAACTATCTCTACCATGACATATGTATTTACAATGGATCAGATCTCTTCTCTCCTCCAAATAAAAGTCCAGGAGGGAAAGAAGAACAGATCCCTTCCAGTCCTTGAACAGCAGCATCCTCTGAGGCAGCAGGTTTCTTCTTCTCATGCATGCAGCAGCTGATAGCTGGCTTTCTGCCAGCATCCACGAGGGAGGTATTCAAGCTCCCCCGGCCCCATCACCTCACAACCGAGGGGTCTTCCGTGGACTTCGTAACCCCAGACAAGGTCGTATCACCACGTCATATCACGAAGACACAGGGGGGTCTTCGTGACGGTCTGGTATCTCCAGGAGATTCAAGCTCCTTGCAGGGCCTCTGTGCCCTGTCTCTCAGACTGCCACCGTGGCAGCAGTGCGAGGGGGGAGAACCAAGGTCAACTCCCCCCGCATTCCATCTGGCCGTCCCGGTCCAGCTGCGGGACGCTGTGAGCTTCTCAGCTCCTCTCTCTCCGGTGCTGCATGTCTAAAACTGCTCTCCAAAATAGGAGTCCATGTCCCTCTTCTCCAAGAGGGGTCTCAAGGGAGTTTTGGGGGGAGTGTGGTACAGTCTTACCCCCAAGAACTCTGTAGCTCTCAGCTGCTGGCTCTCCTTTCCTCGACTCTCCTTCCAGGAGTCTCCTCTGCAGTGCTGCATGTTGCTTCTGCTGCTTCTTCAGTTCAGGTTCTTATCTCTGGCTCTCTGCCACTGTTTCTCCGGTCAGCGTCGGCTGCTGCTCTGTGCCCATGGAGAAAACATCTCCCGGCATACTACAGGCACCTAGCCCAGCTTTATGCTGTTCCAGGTCCCTGCAGCCCCCAGCCAGGGGCTGGGAGGGGGCCAGAGGCCCCAAGGGGCTCAGAGCCCCTTCCTCGTGGCTCTACAACATGGCCACCTCTCCTACAACAACCAAACTACAACTCTTCTTTTCCGGTCTGGTTGTGGTATGTTTACATTTCTGCAGGAGCGCCCATTGGGCAGAACTTCAAAACTTCCAGGGGTTTCCACCCCTTGGGGTCTACCACTTCTCTTAGCCTCTGGGGAGAACAAGGTTCAAACCACTACAAATGGGAAAAGGGTGTTTCTCTTCTTCTGTTTTGATGGGGATACTTCTTTAAAAGAAGCTTCATTGGCCCATCAACTGCAATTTGCCAAGTCCAGGGAGAATTCTGCTAAGGAGGGCTCCGCCCTCTCCATCTCTTGAAAGGGCCGTGTGGAGACCTTCCAGTCCAAGACAATTTCTCCTCAGGTGCCTTTTCAATTAACTTCAATTCTCTTCCTCATAGGAACACACTGCTTGGTCATCCGCCAGACAACCTCTGCTTTGGAAACTCTTCAGTACTGGATGTCAAGACAAAAGAAAAAAAAAGAAGAAGATGGTGGAATGGCTTGTAATAAATAGTTGTTGCTCCATCTGCACTTCCCAGCGTTGAAGTCTGAATGTCTGTAGTGACAGTCCCTGGGACCTGAGTAGCCCCAGGGCTTGCCACTGGAACGTGAGTAGCTGCACTGCTTATTGCAGGGAGTGAAGCAGCTGGAGTCTGAGTGGCCCCCCAGTAAATGCAGTGCCTGGTGCAGGGACAGAAGTGGCCGCAGTGCCTGTGGCTGGAGATTGAGTGACTGCAGTGCTTGTTGTGGGGACTGAAGTAGCCCCCATGCTTGTCAGCAGAATTTGTGCAGCTGCAGTCGCTCTCCTTTTCCTTCGAGCTGCAGTGCTTGTCCCTGGGTTGAGGTGACCACCAATCATGGCTCATGCCTAAACAAGATCTCAACCACAGGCAAGCCCATGCTGATTCCCAGCAAAAGGGCCAGGCTGGCTGCAAGGGTAATTCAAAGGACATTGAAAATCTTCAAAATTCTCAAATACTTCTCCAGTCAGCCTAGAGCGTTATTCTTCCCCAGGTGAGGACCCTGCATTTGCCTCAGTTGAACTTCCCATGGTTCCTCCCCAGCCTGTCGAGCTCCTTCTGAAGGGCTGCACAACTCTCTGGGTATCACCCACTCCTCCCAGCTTTGTGTCCCCAGCAAACTTGCTGAGCAGGCATCTCTCCCTCCATCTCCTAAACCAGTTCTGCAGAAAACATGAGAATGAAAACCTTAGCCCAGGCTCCATGGAGGATAAACATCACCCCATGGAACACAGACAGCAAGAGTGGTAGTATGGAAAGAGCACCTGAGCACACGTGCAGGAACACTGAGAGCAAATGAAACAGCATAATGGCAAGCATCTATGCAACTAGTCAAATAAGTGCTTGTAACAAATTTGTTTTAACACACTGTGGTCTGATCTCAACCCTTCTCAAGCCCATTTTCTCAACCCTTCGAACCTCATGTTGGGTGCCAAGAAGGACTATCATGGTTTATCCCCAACTGACAACCAAGTACCATGCAGCTGCTCACTCACTCTCTCCTCCCCAAATTCCCCCTGTCTGGTGAGGAGGAGAACCGGAAAGAAAAAAATAAACCTCGTGGGTTGAGGTAAGAACAATTTTAGAATTGAAACCAAATACAATAAGAACACCAAAGTAATAAAGATAATTAGTAGTTCTAATAATAATGCTTATGGCAATAATAAGCCCAGCAATAATAAGCAGTGGGAGAGAGAGTGACAGAGACCAAGGAAAGCAAGTGATGCACAGCACAGTTGGTCACCACCTGCTGACCACTGCCATGAGGGGCGGCTGCCGCTGGGGGGCGCCAGGGGCCGGGGGCGCCATGGCCGCGGTGCGCGCGGGCCGGGGCTCCTCCATGAGGGGAGAGCCTTCGCCAGCTCCGAGCCGCAGCAAAAGGGATCGGCCTCTGCTTGTTCCCCTGTCATTTAGGTCCCTTCGTAGCGAAGAGTAAAGAAGGCTTGAAATGAAACACTTTCCTACCGTTTCCCACTCTTTTATTTTGGGGGGGGGGGGCGAAGCTCTCTGCTGGAGGCGACCCGAGTGTCTACAGAAATGCAGCCCCCTCAAAACCCTCTTGGCTGTCCCACAGGTTGTCATCACTTGTTCAAAAGTACCGCCCAGCTCTGGCAGGAGAAAGAGCCCGCAGCGCAGCGGGCGCCGCCCCTGCCCAGCCGGGGCTCTCTGGCAGAGCAGCAGCAGCACAAGCCCCTCTCAACCCGCCCTTGCCTTGGCTTCCCCTGGGAAGCCAGAAGCCTCTGTAACTCAGCAGGTTCCCAGCTTGGATCACCTCCTGCTGGTGGGCAGATCCTGTGGGTTCCGACTGCTTCTGAAAAGTGACAAAGGCAGAGGTACAGACAGACAGGCAGAGGAGCCGTGGCAATGTCTGATAACTGTGCAATAGATGGCCCAGGAGGGGCGTTGCTTGGAATTATTACAGCTGTCCTGGCAATAGTGCCTCCTCTGCTGCTTCCGTGCAATGCATCGGGCCATTTTCTCATCCCCAGCAGTCACTCCTAGCCGCATTCCCCGGTTGCTGTTACTTGCATGTCAAAGCACAGTCGCCCGGGCTCCTGAGTTCCAGCTCTCAGCCTGGAGCACCAAGCTGTGGTGTTCCTCATGAACGAATGTTCTGTCCCCGTTTCACTGTGCTTGGAGCAACCACATTTGCTAAGAAGCAGGATTTAGCAGAGAATAAAATTGATTGGAAACACTTGGGTGGGAGCAGGCTGCTAGAGTTTTCTGTTCCTTTCTTTTGAAGGCGCAGTTGTGTTTCCTGAATGGAGGACCACGTGTGGTTAGCAGGGCTTTGGGGAGTGTTTTTGCAAGGCATGTGTCTTTGAAGCAGTTTCCTGATCACTGATCTAGAAGAAAATGGGGTCACCTGCCAAAATTTTCAAGCTTCAGGATTATGCCATTAGTCAGCAGGAAGAGTGGTGTCTGTAGATCCAAAGAAGTTGCACGTTCCTCATCTAATCAAGCTTGTCTTGGGAATTGTCCTGACTTTCAGTCAGACCCACACAGAGGATCTGAGTCAGGACAATATGCAACTTCCCAGATTTCACAGTGGGAGTTGAACCAGCTGCTCTCTCCACTGCACTTTGTGGGCTTGGGCACTGCCAGTGGTGATCCCGGGGCTTTGAAAGAACTTGTGCAGAGCCATTTGAAAATGCTACCATGGCTGCAAAAGTAGACAAAGAGCAGAAGCCCAGGTCTTTCTCTCTTCATTTTATATTTTAACTGAGAAAATAAATCAAAGGTGATTTTTCCAGTCCCTTGTTGGTAATGCTCAGGAATATATCTTTACACAGGAGAAAAAAACTGACTTGAAAGACACGGAAGGGGGAAGGATGCTTTCAAACTTTGAAAGGCTTCTGGTTTTCTGTTTTCCTCACCCTGCCTTCCTGAGGCCTGCCTACCACCTCATCTCTTTGGTCTCTGCCTCGTAATTCCCCTTTTAAATGGCATTTGCCCATTTGGGCCCACTGGTTTCCTCCTACCACCACCTTCAAAGTCATCCCACATTGGGTTTTAACTTTCTTTTCTTTCTCTCTGTATGTCCACTCTAGTCAGTTTGTGTGGTGCTTTTGAATCTTCTGGGCTCCCTATGGTTAGTGCTTCGCTGGACACCGCCCGTCTGGGTAGAATTGTCTCTCAGATGCCCCTTTGTAGACAGGAGTGATGCTTTAGCAACCATGGGAGCTTGGGCCACGAGGGACAGGGCCTGTCATGTGAGAGGCTCCCAGAGCGTAGATTGAAGGAAGGCAGGGACAGCGTTGCAGGCCTGAAGAGAACACGAAGCCCAGAACTGTCTCTTCTTGCACAAGAGGAGGGATAGCCCGGCCAGCAAGGCTATCAGACACTTGAGCAATGCCACCCATTTCCTCTTAGCTGCCTAAGAGCTGTCTGGAGTTGCAGTCATGGCTGGACCATGTTCATATGGCCTGTCTCAGGAGTCTGTGCCTCCCAGTGAGCAGAGGATGTCCCAGGAGAGCAGCAGCCCAGTGCTTTGGGAATGCATGAGCCTATCAGTCTTTGAGCCTTGCCACACCAACGTTGTGTGGGAAGTTTAAAGCCATCGTGTCTTCCTTTCTGTGCAGCTCCTGCAAGAAGTCGAGCGTGAGAAGACTGCACTGTTGGAGAGGCTCTGCCAGACTCAGGTAGAGCTGCTCCAAACCCGGCAGCAGCTAGGGCAGCTCAGGCAGCAGGTGAAAGAGGAGAGAGAAAATGGGCAGGTAAGCCTGAGTAGCCCGCTGGCAGAGGGGAGGGCCTGCAAGGTAGACCTTGGGACTGAGGAGGGAAGGACTACAGCAGGCCCTGAAAGCACAGAGCCCTGCAGGCTCCAGAGATGAGCCCCAGGAAGGAAGGCTTAGGCTGGAAGCAGAGCTGGGTGCAGAAACAGAGCCAAGTGGCTGAATGAATGGGATTTTGAGCTTGCCAGAGGGAAAACCCGAGCGTGACAGCAGGTCCCAGGAACTTTCTCTCCCTTTATGTTGTCAGAACATCAAGGAAAAGCTGGAAGCAGAGCTGCAGGAAGCTCGGAGTAAGATGAAGGCAGCGGAGAGGAGGCAAAAGGAAGAAATGGCAAGATTGCAAGAGGAAATCAGCCTCCTGCTTCAGCACAGGGAGGCTCTACAAAACCAGGTGAGTGAAACAGCGGTAGGCACTGCAGTCAGGCAACAGGTGCTCTCTGCCCTTCTTGCCTTTCCATTGCAGAGCAGCAGGCTGGTGGGGGTAATCCCTCTGACTGCCATCCTGCTGTGGTCTGCGTCGCAGCTGCTCTGAAGGGACTTACTGGGCCGCTGACTCTCAGCTGCCACCCTGGACAGCAGGGCTAGTCCTCTGGCCGCTTGGCCAGCAATCATCCCCATGCATTTCTGCTGGCCTGTGACTACCAACCTGGTTTTGAGGCGTTTGTTCGGCTGAACGTGAGGACCCAGATACATTTGGGAACAAGTTGTCCGTATCCATTGTGCATCTTGTCCTCATTCAGCATGGGGTGAACTTTCAAGCTGTTCTTTCCTTTTCCTCATCGTCTCTGATATGGCTGACAGTGACAAGCTGTAGTCTCAGACTTTGCTCTGTTTGCCTGGAGGTGGCAGAGTGGACATGTCAGCTCGCAACCTCACACCAATGTTGTGTGGCAAGTTGAAAGCCATCTCCTCCACCTTCCTGTGCAGGTCCTGCAAGAAAAGGCACGTGAGAAGACCGCTCTCTTGGAGAAGCTGTGCCGGACTCAGGTAGAGCTGCTCCAAACCCAGCAGCAGCTAGAGCAGCGCAGGCAGGAGGTGAGAGAGGAGCGAGAGAATGGGCAGGTAAGCCTGAGTAGCCAGGTGACGGGGGAGGGCAGTAACAAGGGCCTGCAAAGTAGATGTTGGGAGTGAGGAGGGAAGGACCACTGCAGGCAAGTCCCAGCAGGTGATGGGTGTCAAAGCTGAGCAAGATCTGAGTGAGGCCCAGGAACTGCCAAGGCAGAAGGTGCTGCAGGCTGAACACTTGCCTAAGATTTGAAGGAACAGAGGAGACAATGGGAGGAGATCGAACATCACAACAGGGAGCTGCAAGGGTGTCTGCAGTCCTTGGAGGGTGAAGGGAGTAGTTGGGACGAAGTGGAGCGGTCATTGTTGCAGTCATTTCTCAGAAAATCTGTGAAAATGTTTAATGAATCAGTTTAAGAGCCCTGGAGGCGGCATCTTCGTGAAGCCTTGCATTTGAAATGTGATCTCTGGGGCATCTCTGCCAGCCACCTTTCTGACACAAACCAATTGCTTGTTCCAGATCTACAGAGGCGAACCTGACAGCGAACCCGTGGCTGCAGCAGCCCCCTCTAACGAAGCCTCCACTCCCCAGCCTGAGAACTCGAGCCCCAGCAGTTCGTCCAGCTCACGCCTGGACGCAGAGCAGCTGCGAGAGCTGAGAGAGGAGCAGTCCCTGAAGCTGCTGAGTACGTCCTGTGTATTTCTTGTCTGCTAGAGCAGCGTGTTGCGTGCATGTCTCAGCATGAGCTGTGCCACATGTTCCTCCTCACTCTGCTGTCACAGAGGGCTGCCTTTTGGATCTGCTGGAAACTGCTATCTCTGCTCTGAAGTGAGCACGTTGCATTTTGCTTCTTTCAGGGAGCATTGTGAGTGTGGGAGATCCACTGAAGAAATACACTGGATGGGAAAATATTGGCAAAGGGTGAGTGCGACCACACTTCCTTCGACAAAACCAGGGGCCAGGTATTTTGCTGGTGCCACATTCAAGCGGGAAGTCAGGCAAGCTCCCAGCGTGTTCAGACACAGGGCTCAGAGTCTCCCGTCTCTCAGTGCTGATCAGAATTTCTTTGCTGCTGTTCTGTTTCTAGGGGTTTCGGCACCGTGTACAGAGCATTCGATGCTGTCACGGGAGGAGAGGTATGTGCCAACAACCCCGCAGCTTTTGCAGCTCTCGAGTGCTCTCCTCTGTGGCTGGAGCTCTGGGTCGCCGTTCTTTGCTGCACAGGCTGTTCCCCTGAAGCCCAGGCTAGAGGCAGCCTGCAAAATGCATTTGGGGCAGACTTTGTCCTTCTTCACTACCTGAAAGAATGCAAGGAGGGCAGCGTTATCTTTCAGAAAAGGACACGCTAGCGTGGTCTCAGTTGATAAATGGGCATTGACTGGCTGACGGCGACTGCCCTCCTTCAGGCCCAATTTCTCTTCATGCCAGGTTCAGACACAGAGAGCATTTAGCTTTTTTTCCACCAGGGCTTTCATCTTGAAAATCTAATGCAAAAGCCAATGAAGGAGAGACCACGTTTGCAACACAGCTTTGTGGTTCAGTCCTAGTGAAGCTAGTTGGCACACACATTGACCAATGAGAACGCGTTTACCAAGAGCAAAGATCTCTCCTGAGCAGTACCATCCTGGTTTGGTCTGATCTCCAAGAGAGCCCATTACAGAGATTCTATTTGTAATAAGCAGACACGGTAGTGTCTTAGAGAGTCCCACTGCTCTTTGGGGTTCCAGCTCCACATTCCTGAATTCTCGTTTCTGGCTGTCAGCAAAGACATCAGAATCTTCCTGCTACTTCCTTATCCACCTGCACTGCTGTGCTTGGGAACTGTGCTTAGAGAGAGGTCTACAAGGCATCTAGAAGCACTAAGCCCCACCTATCATCTAGGCCGTATCCAACTGCAAATCTCATCCATTTGCTCTGTGATATGATTGCTTTCCTGCACAACTGAGAATAGCAGCAGGTTGTGAAATACGCATCAGACCCCCTAGAAAGGCTAAGGGATTACCAGCTGTTTGGATACACTTTCACAAGAGCATCATTGCTTTATGCTTGCAAATTGTGTGTAAATGATAACAGCTGTGACAGATGAAGGCCCTCTGGGAAGAATGTGGATGCAGAGTGTTGTTAGAGCTTTGTGGTTGCTAGTTTAGAGACCATTTCTGCCAAGTGGACAAGGCAAAACATCCATGGCCCCGGGCCCTGTCACTGGCACCCGAGCCAGCAGAGAAAGGGGCTGTTGTCAGGTCAGTTACGAATTGCTCTGACATTGGACCACGAGGCCGTTGGGCTCAGCTTGGCTGTGTCATTCCAAAATCTTACACTCAGTGCTCCTTGTGGTCTCCTGCAAGAGACGTCTCAAGTTCATGGTTTTCAACGTCATTTTAGGTGGCCATCAAGCTAGTCAATCTCCATCAACAGAGAAAAGAGGAACTCCTGAAAGAAATCCTGGTCTTGAGGGAGAAGAACCACCCCAATATTGTTACCTATGTAGACAGGTAGGCAGCTCTGGTGTTATCATGGGAATGTTCATTTACAGGCTTTCAAGGCAAAGGTTAAAACACCTTTGACTCCCTGGCAGAAAATGGATCTTTTCATTATTATTAATCTACTTGGATAGCATGTATGGGAGGAGAATGCATTTTGTCTGCATTGGTGCTTCCTGGCAGACACAGTTTGAAGACTGTTTTCCAAAACCTGGATCTCTTACTAAATCAACAGCCTCTACATTCTCTCCCTCCATCTTTTCTCAAAGGGTTGACCAAATTCTGTCCTCAGTGCTGCATACCCTCCTTGCCTGGATAAAGGTTGTGAAAATTGTGTCTCCTGGCTGCTGGAATGAAGGGTGGAATTGATGTGTTAAGAGGATGAACCAACTGATGGCATGTGTCCCAGTTCCAGGTTCATCTTTGCTGTTACTAAACTGCCTTTTTGCCTTTGCTTGCCACCTTAGCCAGCTCCTTTCTTCATGGGGATTGTAAGCCCTGTACAGCCCAGGCAGAATGTCTCTTCCTTTTAGTCTGTCTCCATGTACAAGTGACCTGGAAAAAAAAATCAGGAGAGCAGGCTTTTCCATAAGGCAATTGAGCTGTGCACATTCCTCTCCACGCTGTTGTTTTCTTCTTCCAGCTACCTTGTCAGTCAGGAGCTCTGGCTGGTGATGGAGCACATGGACGGAGGCTCTTTGACGTTATTAGCGAGACATGGATGGTCGTAGGACAGATAGCAGCTGTCTGTCAGGAGGTAAGGGATCCCACTTGTGCTTCTGATGGCTTGGAATGGATTGTCCTTGTAAAGAGGCAGTGTGAACAGCACTGATTTTATCTTCAGAGCTTTGGTCCTCTGCTGCTCTTATGATCCAGAGGAGAAAGAGGCTCTCAAGTGAACTGCCTGCCAGTGTCCCTGCACTTCCTATACTCTGCTCTTAGGATACTCTTATCTACCCCGGTTGTACTCTCTCCCTCTGTGGTTTTTCAAATGTATTTCCTGTTCCCCACTTGGCCTCTCTAAACATTTGCCTGGAGCCTGTCTGTACTGCATTGCTTGCCTGTAAAAGCAAAGGTGCTGGTGGCAGAAGTTGGAAGGAATAGCGAAGAAAACTCCAGACTCATTGCTGCCACTCCTCAGCTTCAAAGGACAGCATTGCACCCAAGATGGTGTTTGCTTCTGAAGACTGACTAATGGGTTACTTCCAAGGCTGCTGGCAAGGCTAGCAAGAAAATCTTGATCGTGCAGCCTCCCGCCCAGAAGCCACCCACTTCATGCCATTTGTTTGCAAAGCCTCTTTAGTCCTCTGGGCGCAGAGAGCACAAGCACTGCAGCAGCAGTCATTCTGGCTGGGTTTGCAGGGCACTGGAGCAACAAGGCCTGTTTCTCTTTCAAAGCTAATATGCCTTCACTTAGAAAGACACTGCTCTCCTAGTGTTGCAGCAGCAAGCTCTTCCTCTTGACAGCACCATGCCCTGTCATTGCTGACTGTTCCTCTAGAAATGGTTGAATCGTTTACAACAGTTTCCTCTCTTGGGTGATGAAATCCGATCGCTAAGTTTTACCCTCCTGTTTGTTTTTTCTCTCTCAGTGCCTGCAGGGACTGGCTTTCCTTCATTCCAACCGGGTCATCCACAGAGACATCAAAAGCGACAACATTCTTCTGGGCCTGGACAGAGCGGTGAAGTTGGGTGGGTATTCTTGCTTGGGCTCAGCGTTCTGGGGATGCAGCGTGGGGCTGCCGTGGAGTCACTGCCACATCCCCAACAGCGGTGCTTGGCAGAGTGCATGGACCACTCCTGCAGGCAAAGAGCACAGCTGCAAGGGGCAGAGAGGTCTAGAGAGGAACATGGTGTTAAGAGTGGCTCTGGTTTTTGTGTGTCCCTTCTAGAGGCGGGCAGTTACAACCCAAACCTTCAGGTGAATAAATGAAAGGCACTGCATGAAGCATGGGGCTTTGTTCAGGGGACAATGCCTTATTTGCTTGGTTGCAGCCTTGAGGAAACAGAGCACGGCCACTTTCCCTGATAGATCCAGCACCACACTCTCAGACTTTGTGTGCACAATTCTTTTCCTTGGTTTCCTAACCGAGGCTTGTTTGAACAGTGTTTGTCTTTCTCCTCAGCTGATTTTGGCCTCTGTGCTCAGCTCACCCCTGAGCACGGGAAACGGAGCTCCATGGTCGGGACTGTTTACTGGATGGCCCCTGAAGTTGTGAGAAGCCAACCCTACGGCCCCAAGGTGGACATCTGGTCTCTCGGCATCGTGGCAATAGAGATGCTGGAAGGAGAGCCTCCTTACTTTAAGGAAAGCCCTTCCATGGTAAGGTGCAAAGACCCTCAGACACCGGTGTCTTTGTAATCCGTCCCATCTTCTGTCTCCCATGAGACAAATGCCATTCCCACCAGCTTGAACTACTTCCACCAAGGTCCGCTTCTAAAAATGTCCCTGCAGCACACCAGCATCTGCTGGAGCTCTCTTGCCCTCACGGGGAGGACCTCAGAAGGGAGGTTCGTGGCACATAGACACTTCAGAAACCTTTCCTCTTGGCCTTCAGCGATGCTTGAAATATCTGGTGCGCTTTTTGATCTCTCTGAGCTCTGTCTCTCAACCAGATAGTTTCAGGCTTCTAAATCATCTCTGTATTGTTCTGTCCTGTGTCTGGGTGGTCTGCGTAAGTTTAGGATCTTGCTTTCACAGACTGCAGCCCTAACTGTCTGCCGAATCCTTGGCTGTTTCTTGGGACATGAAAGTAATTGAGGGGCTTATTGCCCCTTTGCAGCTCCTGCAAACACGGATTTCCTTTGAGCTGGACTTGTTTCTCTTTGCCGGCTGCATCACAGGAAACCAAAGTTCAGCTTCCCATAGACCTTTTTCCGTGGTTGTAGAAATCTTGCAAAGGGGTGCTACGTAGCTAAAGATGACTCCCTCATGATTTGTGCTGCTGAAGAAATTGGCAACTGAAAGAGCTCCGCTTGTCCTGGCACTGCTGTTCCGCAGTCAGGTGAATGTGGCTGGAATCCACTGCCTGCAGTCGGCACGGGTGCCGTGTTCCCTTCTGCTGAGGGAGCAGTAACGTCCCTCGGGGAGCACAGTTAGAAACACAGTGAGGACAGGCACTGCAGCTCCCCACTGTGTCCAGTGGCTGGGACCAGCTGCAGAGGGACAGCATAAGACTGATTTGGTGGCCTTTTACGCCACTGGAGGTTGGAGCTTAACCAGTGGGGTCTGGGTGCTCAGGTGCGGCTATGGAAGAAAGAGGGAGAGTGTGAGGGAAGAGGAAAGTGACTGGAAAAAGTACCAAGCATGGAGGCAGATTTATAACCCGGAACAGACAGCACACACTGGAGTGGACACTTGCTTGCTGGATATGACATATACCGGAATTGACAGTTTTTCCCCAGTTTCCCAAGTTTATTGTTGTATTGTTGTATTGTTGTATATATGTACTCCAGTTGTTGTTTTAAAAACCCTATCCTCCATATTGTCTTCTTCTCCCCTCATAGTTTTCCCACCAAAACCTGTTGTCCTCCCCTGTTTTCCCACTCCTCTGCCTGCCATTGGTTGATGTTTGGTGCAGTGCAGAGGTAGCTCCTATTGGCCCATTCCCCTGGTAACACCCAGACTCCGCCCACCTTCACCCTGTTGCCCTATCCCGAGAGTCCCTTAGTTGTCAATCCTTTGCTCCTCCCCTCGCCTGGTTCCACCTCCTTATCCTACCCTATTTAAGTCTCTTGCTCCCCTAATAAATTCGGCATTGCTTCACCGACCTCTGCTGTGTCAAAGACCCTTTTTGCAGTGCCCGGTCCCATTCCCTTTCCCTGTGGGCCGTGGCAAGTGGCGCCCAACGTGGGGCACAGTAGAGGTCTTCTGTATCAGGAGAACTCCTGTGCTGCTACTTGGGTACAGGCAACTCCAGGAGGGGAGATCCTTCCGCCAACCCTCCTTCACAGGACAGATGACTGTGGACTTCGTGGAAGCCGCACAGGTCGTGCACCAACGAAGGTGAGCTGTGGAGGACATTCCCACACCGTACCCAACACCTACCCCATAACAAAACTTAAACAAAAAGGAGGAGTAACATCAGAAAGTTGTGAGAAAACCTAAATTAACACCATGGGTCTCACGCTTTCCACCTCTGAAAAGTTTGTATACCACCGCCTCAAGGATTTTATTATTGAGCACGGTCACCCATTGGACAAAAAATCAGCCAAAGCTCTTGCCAGATGGCTTGACTGACATGGCCATAAAGTAAATGATAACACCACGCTTGAGAAGTGGCAAGCCTTGGGATATCACCTCTGGCGGGAGAATGATAAGGGTGACCGGCTCGCGAAGAAGGCGTTAATTGCCTGGAGGCTTGTTCTGATGGTGCTACAGCACCATATGATGAACAAGAATGTCAGCCTCTCCAACACGTCTGCTGAATCCTCCAAGAACACCACCAAGAGCACTAATAACACCGACAAGGACACTAAGCATACAGACAAAGACACTTCAATCACCCCACAAAATGGCGGGAGGGAAGAGGACACCAGTGACACACAAGATGGCAGGAGGGAGACAGTGGACTCAGATGCGCAAAATGGCGGGAGGGCGCAGAGAGCAGCGCGTTGAAGGTGAAATGGCATCAAGGAGGCTGGACCCCGAGATTGCGCGGACAGGAAGGAAGGGGAACCGTGGGAGAGACCGGCACGGGAAAAAAGGAGGCAGGCCCCCGTAGCTCCACCCTCTGGGCCACCTCCGTTTCCACCCATGCGTGCGCGGAGTCCTTCCTCTGACACGCCCTCCACCATGCCTACTTCCGCCAGTCCAGTCTCCTCCCCCGAAGTGTCACCCTCCCGGAAGCCACGGAGAGCAGCGGGCGGGGCAAGGGCAAAGGCCAAACATAACATCCCCCAAGATGGCCACGCCCGTGGGCCACCTAACACTGAGGCCTACCCCACTTGCCACTACCCCACACCTGATTGTGACCGGGTGCCGTGCTCCTCGGAAAGGCCCGCTACAGCGCCAGATATCTGGCCTTCCGGAAGGCCTTCCAAGAGGAAGCAGCAAGCGCCAAGGACGCGGAATTTCTGCGTGCCTTTCCAGTTTATTATGATGAGGGGAACGCACCCGAATGGAGGCCCATCTCGTACCCAATGCTTAAAGATATAAAGAAAGCAATAGTGGAGTATGGGTTGGGTGCCCCATTTACCATCGGGTTGCTCAAGTCATTTTTCCTTGCATACACCCTTATCCCATTCAACATTAGAGCAGTAATTGGAGGGTTGTTTACAACCGTGCAGGCTTCGGTTTTCGAAGCGGACAGGAGAAAAAAGATCATAACCTTCGTAAATGACAAAATGGAGAGAAGAGGCATTCCCCCCAGGCAGGCAATAGACATGCTCTATGGAGAGGGAGATTACTCTACCAGAGCGGATCAAGCCAGATTAGACCCCAAATTATTAGACATCACTAAAGAATTGGCATTAGAGGCCGTACAGAAGGTAGCTGATGCTTACGTACAGACACCTTCTTTCACTTTAATAAACCAAGGGCCTAAAGAACCATTTGTGGCTTTTTTAACTCGGCTTAAAGAAGCAATTAGCAGGCAGGTGTCTCAGAAAGAGTGCCAGGAAATTCTATTTAGTAAATTGATTCTCGAAAAGGCCAATGAGGACTGCCAAAAGGCTTTAAAATTATTAAAAAATCCGACTCCACTGGAGATGATCGAAGCATGTAAGAACATTGGATTGAACTCCCATAAAGCACGCCTATTGGCTGCCGCATTTACAGGGCCGCAACACTGCTTTGGATGCGGGGAAAAAGGACATTTTCGGAAACACTGTCCTAAACTGTCAAAATCCACACCTGACTTACCAAAAACTTTGTGTCGCAGGTGTGGAAAAGGACGACACTGGACTTCCAGTTGTCGTTCTGTTACCAACATTAACGGCGAACCTCTCTCTCCCAGACAGTCACCCAGATTAAGAAAAAGAGTCACCTTCTCGTCGTTGCCGGATCTAAGGTCGTGTGAGTGTGAGCCGTCGGGAAACGGGGAGCAGAGCGCTCGGGGGAGCACTATGACACAAGTAGCCCCTCACCTGCGCTCCATTCTGCGCCAGCCATCGCGCCCAGCTACCCCGTAGCCCGATGGCCGCTCCCTGACCCGGTGCCAGTAGAAAAACAATGTTCTCCACTCCCATGCGTAATCCTCACGGTTGTGCACCCCTCCATACATTTAAGCTCGTACGAGCAATTAGTCAAAGTCTGACCGTCAGCCCCCATCGACCCGGACAGAACTTATCTAATAACATCTCATTTCTCGGTAGTGGATAAAGGTATAATAGTGGTACCCACAGTCCTGACCAGTTTGACGAATTCCAACATAGCCATATGTTTATGTGTCCATCTTCCCCCCGTGCAGCTAGAGGACCGCTTCCCAGTTGCCAAAATGGTCTCCATGGACGACCTGCTGTGCGTGCTGCCGGCGGATGAAGAGCAGAGGAAGAGGGAGCAGAAAGAAGTCCTTTGGGCTGCAGATGTTAAATCCCCTCGCCCTCTGCTAACTTGTTTGATTTACTATTCACAGCCTAGACAGCCGCAGCGGGTCAAAGTGGAGGGCCTTTTGGACATGGGAGCTGATGTGACTATCATCGCCTCCAAGGACTGGCTGCACGGATGGCCCGCACAAACGGCCTATGTCCAAGTCAGCGGCATGGGGGGGACGCAATATCCGGTCAGGAGTCGGGAGGTACTCACTGTTTACGGGCCGGAGGGCAGACCAGCATCCCTCCAACCATATATTTTAAATATTCCATTCACACTATGGGGAAGGGACACCATGGAGCAGTGGGAGCTCAGCTTGAGAACCCTGTCCCATGAGGAAAATTTTTAGGTGGGGTCACTGAAGTACTGCAGCTCCCCAGACTGAGCTGGAAAACAGACATGCCAGTATGGGTCGATGAGTGGCCCCTACCTAAGAAAAAGCTGCAAATTCTCAATGAGCTAGTGAATCAGGAATTGGCTAAAGGACACCTGGAGTCTTCCACCAGTCCCTAGAACACTCCAGTGTTTGTCATCCAAAAGTCCTCAGGTTCCTGGAGATTTCTCCAGGACCTGCGCAAAGTTAATGAAGTCCTCGAACCAATGGGAGCCCTCCAGCAGGGAATGCCATCACCATCCATGCTCCCTGCTGAATGGCCCCTAGTGGTAATTGATATAAAGGACTGTTTCTTTCACATTTATCTTAATCCGGCTGATTCGGTCAAATTCGTATTTTCAGTCCCTGCTGTCAACGCTTGTGAACCTCACCGCAGGTTCCAGTGGCGAGTGCTTCCCCAGGGGATGAAAAATTCCCCAACACTCTGCCAGATGTTCGTGGCAGAAGTGTTGTGTCCAATCAGGCAGAAATACCCGCAGTCAATCATCTTCCATTATATAGATGATGTGTTGATCTGCGCCAAATCCCAATTGGCAGTAGACAAGACCTTAAATTCAACCATTTTGGCTCTAAAAGCAAAGGGATTGGAGATATCCCCTGAAAAGGTACAAAGGGAAGCACCCTGGAGGTACCTTGGACTTCAGATTACGGAAAAGGCCATAAGGCCCCAGGCAGTAGAAACTGACAGAAGAGTCCACACGTTAAACGACCTCCAGAAGCTGCTGGGAGCGATCAATTGGATCCGACCTGTGTTGGGAATCACAACCGGTGATCCCTTATTTGAGCTGCTCAAGGGAGATGCTGATCTGTCCTCCCCCCGTACTTTAACATCAGAAGCTGAAAAAGCACTATCCACTGTTGAGAAAAAGATTTCACAAAGACAATCATGCAGGAGGATGGAGGGACTGCCATCCTCCCTAGTAATCATAAGGGAACAACATCAGCCCTTGGCTCTCTTGGGCCAATACACTGACGACTGCAAAGATTTCTGTTTGTGGGAGTGGATATTCCTCCCTCATCAATTTGGCAAGATGATCACCACCATCGCAGAAATGATTGGAAAGGTAACATTTAAAGGTCACACTAGGTGCTTAGAACTTAGCGGTGAGGAGCCGGATTCTATCTACCTCCCACTAACTTCTGAACACCTAGAACAGCTGCTGCAAACCTCCATAGATTTTCAAATTGCCATCAGGGGCTACCCGGGAGAAATTCGGCTTCACCTCCCGGCGTGCCCATTTATTCAAAGGTTAATCTAAATTCCATTAAAGTTGAAAATTGTACAATCGGATCTGCCAATAAAAGATGCCAAAACAATTTTTACCGATGGCTCAGGGAGAACCGGAAATGCGGTAGTAATTTGGTGCGAAAATGAAGATTGGAAACAAGATATCCACAAAGTACAGGGTTCTCCCCAAATAGTGGAGCTTTCTGCAGTTGTGCGCGCCTTCGAAATTTTCAGTGGTGAGCCAATTAATATCGTTTCTGATTCGGCTTATTTGTGTGGTGTGGTCAAGAGAATTGAAAATTCATATCTCAAAGATGTGGCAAACGAAAATTTGTTCCGATTGCTGACCAAATTGTTGTTTTTAATTCAAAAAAGGGAATTCGGCTTCTTCATTGTCCACACCAGGTCACACACTCCTCTACCAGGTCCTGTGGCGGAGGGAAACCAGATTGCCGACCATCTGGCAGGTATGGTGGTCACTCCCAATTTACTCCAACAAGCGAAGATATCCCACGAGTTCTTTCACCAAAATGCATGATCGCTGCAAAAACAATTTGGCCTCAAATTATTCCAAGCAAAAGAAATTTTAAGGACGTGCCCTGATTGTCAAATTGTCACGCCAGTCGTCCCAGAAGGGACCAATCCAAGAGGCCTTTCAGCACTAGAAATTTGGCAATCAGATGTTACGCACGTAGCTGAATTTGGTAAACCAAAATATGTACATGTGTCCATTGACACTTTTTCTAAGATGATTGTAGCCACCGCGCATTCTGGTGAGAAGAGCCATGATGTAAAAAGACACTTTCTGTCCGCATTCGCAAGGATGGGAGTCCCTAAGCAGATAAAAACAGACAACGGGCCCTCCTATGTGTCTGCGGACACGAAACGGTTCTTTGAGCAATGGGGGGTCCACCATACCACCGGGATCCCTCACAGTCCCACAGGCAGGGTATAGTAGAGCGTGCCCACCAAAATATTAAGAATATTCTTAAAAAACAAAAGAGGGGGAGTATTGGCGTGTCCCCCCAAGAGAAATTAGACAAAGTGATGTATGTTTTAAATTTTTTGAATATGATGGAGGAATCAGAAACTCACACAGACAGAAGTCCAGTAGATCGCCACTTTAAATCTGATTCTTTATCGTCAACATCATTACGAGCGAAAGTTATGTACCGGGACCCACTGACAGAAACCTGGACGGGCCCTTTCCCCTTAGTCACCTGGGGGAAGGGCTACGCCTGTATTTCAGGTCCAGACGGACCAAAGTGGGTCCCAGCGCACCGTGTGAAGATCCATCAGGCGTGAAGAGAGAATAGAAGACAACCATGCACCAGCTTCACTTCACCATCTTCCTCATCATCATCAACCCTGCACTCATCCTTCTCAGCACTTCAACACCACTGCGGGAATGGATGAGCCAACCGGGCAAGAACTTATGGGTAACGTTAGCCAAGGCTACAGGCACGGACACCTTGTGCCTGGCCTTGGCTAGTGCAGGCAGCCCATTCCGAACGTGCCTGGTGGGGATCCCGGTAACACCGGCCGAGTGGGATACCTTTGTATCTCTAACTCGGAGCACAGGATCCCTACCCCTGAACTCCCCCAATCTAGCCCAAACCATATCCGCTCTTACGTTTGTCGATATGCCTTTTCAAGAAATTGACCTTTTAGGTTCTCTCCCTACCGTTGCATGCGTTATTTTCCACCGTTACACCCAGCCAGTTTTGTTCACCCCCCACAATGTCACAGCTAACAAGCAGCTTTACCGAGGGACCACTTCGCCGTGGTGCAACAATTCTATTGTCACCACCATCCCGACGGAGCACGTTCCTCGGAACATGCGGCTCCCGAAGGGATATTTCCTATTGTGCGGAGATCGGGCATGGCCGGGAATTTGCGCCTACCCGGAGGGAGGTCCCTGCACAGTAGGGAAGTTAGCACTGTTAAACCCGGCAAAGTTCCGATTGGCCAATGAGTTTGTGTTTTCCAAAAATCGTGAGAAAAGGTCCCTTCGGGTAAAGCGGAGCTGGTTCCCTAATATTCAAAGAAAGGTCGAAGGTTGGAGGCTCCCCCCAGAGCAACCCAAACCCCAACCTCCTGTCTCAAAACTAGAGGCCACACCCCCACAGATCAGGCTCCAAAATTCCCTCCCAGCGCCACATGTGAATATCGGAAAGCCGCAATATTGGGCCACACCTCTGCCCTGTTGTGATTCGAACATTCACATCTGGTCAAAGGTAAAGAACTTCTGGGCATCCTTCCCTATCCCTAGGATAGGGACAGCTCATGCCCTCTCTTTGCTCACGCACCTTGGGTGCTGGCTCACCAAAGAAGCGAACGCCACCACACGAGCAATTGAGGGCCTGTTAGCGGACACCCAGAAGTTAAAAGAGGTCAGTTTACAGAATCGAGCAGCCATAGATTTCCTTCTCCTGGCACATGGTCACGGGTGCCAGGAATTTGAGGGAATGTGCTGTATGAATTTCTCGGACCACGCCGAGTCCATCCATGAGAGTATCAATCAGTTAAAAAGCCTGGTCCGGGAAATTCATCAGACGGAAAACGAAGGGCTCGATGACCTCTTTGATTGGCTCAAACTTCCAAATTTTCCTAATTGGTCGCGAAAAATTATTATCCTATGTTTATTGTCCCTTTTTGGTTTAATTTCTTTATGCACTGTTTTACCTTGTTTGTTTTTATGCCTACGTAAGATGCTGATGTCAACCATCACCGCCAACCTCTCAGCCATTCAAACAAACAAAGAAGGGGGAGATGTGGGGGAAGAGGAAAGTGACTGGAAAAAGTACCAAGCATGGAGGCAGATTTATAACCCGGAACAGACAGCACACACTGGAATGGACACTTGCTTGCTGGATATGACATATACCGGAATTGACAGTTTTTCCCCAGTTTTCCCAAGTTTATTATTGTATTGTTGTGATGTTATATGTACCCCAGTTGTTGTTTTAAAAACCCTATCCTCCATATTGTCTTCTTCTCCCCTCATAGTTTTCCCGCCAAAACCTGTTGTCCTCCCCTGTTTTCCTGCTCCTCTGCCTGCCATTGGTTGATGTTTGGTGCAGTGCAGAGGTAGCTCCTATTGGCCCATTCCCCTGGTAACACCCAGACTCCGCCCACCTTCACCCTGTTGCCCTATCCCGAGAGTCCCTTAGTTGTCAATCCTTTGCTCCTCCCCTCGCCTGGTTCCACCTCCTTATCCTACCCTGTTTAAGTCTCGTGCTCCCCTAATAATTCGGCATTGCTTCACCGACCTCTGCTGTGTCAAAGACCCTTTTTGCAGTGCCCGGTCCCATTCCCTTTCCCCACGGACTGTGGCAGGAGACTCTCATGTTTCCTTCTTCTTCAGGCTCAAGACCTGATAGCCAGAGAAAGGACACCAAAGCTGCAGAACCCCTGGCTACACTCCTCTCTCCTGCTTGACTTCCTGAACTGCTGCCTGCAGAGGGACAAGAAGAGGTGAGCGTCTGCCCAGGAACTTCTGCAGGTAAAGAGGGAAGCGGCTGCAGGTGGAACAGCTGTCCCATCTCAGGCATGGCTTCTCAGCTAAACTCCAAGGCATCAGATGGGCCCCCCTCCTGGTAATCTCTAAACAAAAGAACTGAAGTAGGATGATGCCAGGCCTGAAATGGTGCTGGAGGAACCCAACAGAACCAGTCCCAGCCGAGCAGTCTGAGATTTGGCTGTGTTTGAGGTGGTGGAGGATCCTGCGCAATGGCTTATGCCTTTCCTCTCTTTGGGCAACTAAACTAGCCCGTGCCTGGAGAAAAGAGGAACCTAGGGGAGTCTCCTAAAAGGAGCAAAGCCCTGGGACAGCAAGCAGCATTCCCAGTGTGCTGTCAGGGCAAAGCTCCCAGGAAGCAGAAGACACCCTGAGGAATGGATTTGTGGATTATGGGCCAGCTTTGCCTGGGATAGCAAGGTCCTAGACATGAAGACAGAGATGCAGATGGTCCCCTCCATCCTATTTCTGCATCTTTCTGGCAAGCAGAGGAGTCCTGCTTGAGCCTGTGAGGAAGGGAGTTTGGAAAGTAATGCTTCCTCTCTTTTTTTTCCCCTTTGGGCAGCATCCATTCCTTCAATCAGCCAAGCCTCTCTCCAGACTGGTTCCTGTGATCATTGCAGCGAAGCAGTCGAGGGAGTACAGGAGATAACAAGACCATTTCCGGACGGTTTTCTTAAGTGGGACTCAGAATAAAAACTCGGTAAGACCTCAACTCTGCTGGAAGATTCCCTTCCTTGTCACCCTGTGAAGAAACTCTACATTCACTTCTCAATTGTCCATTGTTTCTTACAGATGGAAAGTCCCAATTCTGCAGTTTTTGGTATGTTTTGGAATTGGGAAGAGTCTCCTTCCTTGATCAACTCCACAGTGAACTGAACGGAACAGAACTGAACTGAAGGAAGGGAGGGAGGGAGAGAGGGCTGGGGAAGAGACGGAAGTGAGGCGGGGGAGGGAGGGAGGAGGGAAAGCCAAGAAGGAAAGGCAGGAAGGCAGAAAGACAGGAAGGCAGGAAGGAAGGAAGGCAGGAAGGCAGGAAGGAAGGGTGAGAGGCATTTCTCCTGTGAGTTGAGTCACCAAGGTGAAAAGGTAAAAGGTGTAATTCTGGCTCATTCCCAGTAGACAGCTCCCAAAGCATGGAGGGGACAGCAATGCTGAATGGCCCTTAGGGACATAGTTCAGTGGTGGACATGGCTGTGTTTTGTTACACTCAATGATACTAAAGATCTTGTACTCACTGCAGAATTCTATAACCCTGCAGAAACCCTCAAGTGGAGGCAGAAACCCTCTCCTGATGCCAAACCCTGTAGGAGCCCTGACCAGGCTTGTCAAGGACATGAAGGTCTGGCCGGCTTCTTGCCCACATCAGCAAATGAGTGGACAATGGGAAAAGGGTGTTTCTCTTCTTCTGTTTTGATGGGGATACTTCTTTAAAAGAAGCTTCATTGGCCCATCAACTGCAATTTGCCAAGTCCAGGGAGAATTCTGCTAAGGAGGGCTCCGCCCTCTCCATCTCTTGAAAGGGCCGTGTGGAGACCTTACAGTCCAAGACAATTTCTCCTCAGGTGCCTTTTCAATTAACTTTAATTCTCTTCCTCATAGGAACACACTGCTTGGTCACCTGCCAGACAACCTGTGCTTTGGAAACTCTTCAATACTAGATGTCAAGACAAAAGAAAAAAAAAGAAGATAGTGGAATGGCTTGTAATAAATAGTTGTTGGTCCATCTGCACTTCCCAGCGTTGAAGTCTGAATGTCTGTAGTGTCAGTCCCTGGGACCTGAGTAGCCCCAGGGCTTGCCACTGGAACGTGAGTAGCTGCACTGCTTATTGCAGGGAGTGAAGCAGCTGGAGTTTGAGTGGCCCCCCAGTAAATGCAGTGCCTGGTGCAGGGACAGAAGTGGCCGCAGTGCCTGTGGCTGGAGATTGAGTGACTGCAGTGCTTGTTGTGGGGACTGAAGTAGCCCCCATGCTTGTCAGCAGAATTTGTGCAGCTGCAGTCGCTCTCCTTTTCCTTCGAGCTGCAGTGCTTGTCCCTGGGTTGAGGTGACCACCAATCATGGCTCATGCCAGCAAAAGGGTGTTGGAGAACACAAAGCTGAGTGGGAAGAGTTTCAAGCATGGCGAAAAATCTATAGCCCTGAATAAGACACTCTACACCGAAAAGACACTACTTTACTGGACTTTGCTTTATTTTACCGGACTTGATATCACCCTGGATTGGACAGTTCATCCCCAGTTGTTCCCGGTTTATTATTGCATTGTTATACTGTTGTCTGTACCCCAGTTATTGTTCTTTAAAAATTATCCTCCATATTGTCTCCCTCTTCCCCTCACAGTTTTCCCGCCTAAACCCTGTTTTCCCGCTCCTCTGCCTGCCATTGGCTAGTGTTTGGTGCAGTGCAGAGGTAGCTGCCATTGGCCCATTCCTCCGGTTATACTAGGACTCCTCCCCTCCTTGCCCGGTTGCCCAATCACATTCATCCCTGAGTTGCCAGTCTTATGCTCCTCCCTAGCCCAAACTCCGCCCTTGAGTCTACCCTATATAAGTTATTGTAACCCCTAATAAAATTGGCATTGCTTCACGAGATCTCTGCTGTGTCCCGAACCCTTCTTGCAGTGCCGCGTCCCCATTCCTATTCCCCCCGGGTCGTGGCAAGTGGCGCCCAACGTGGGGCACAGTAGAGATCTCCTGTATCAGGAGAACTCCTGTGCTGCTGCTGGGCTCAGACGACTCCAGGAGCGGAGCTCGTCCCGCCGACCCTCCTCTGCATAGCTGACAGCTGTGGACTTCCATCGAGTCGCACGGGTCGCACGCCTGGAAAGGTGAGCTGCAGGGGACATTCCTAACACCCTCACCCAACACCTCATCCCCGTAATCAAAACTAAACAGGGAGGAATAACATCTGGAAGTGTGGTGAGAAACCCGATTAACATCATGGGGCTCACACTTTCCACATCCCAGAAATTTGTTTCCTGCTGCCTCAAAGACTTTGTGATAGAGCACGGTCACCCGCTGGATAAGAAATCAGCGAAAGCCCTCGCCAGATGGCTTGACCGTCATGGTCATCAAGTTAACGATAACACAACATTTGATAAGTGGCAAGCCATCGGGTTCCAGCTATGGCGAGAGAGCGGCAAGGGTGACCGGCTTGCTAAGGAGGCGCTCATAGCCTGGAGGCTTGTTCTGATGGTGCTTCAGCACCAGATGATGAACAAGAACATCAGCAATAACATCCAAGGCGCTGAATCCTCCAAGTTAATAGAAGAGAACAAACCAAACACGGACAGGGACACTAAGAACACTGACACAGACACTTTTCACTCGGATAAGGACACCGCAAGTTTCCATCAAAATGGCGGGAGGGAAAAGAAGGACATCAGCTCCAACACACAAGATGGCGGGCGGGAGACGGACAGCGAGTCCCAAGATGGCGGGAGGGCGCGAAGAAGAGGATCGCGTCGATCTCGAAATGGCGTCGAGGAGGCGGGGCCCCGGGTTTCGCGGGAAAGATCGACGCGGGAAAAGCGGAGGCGGGTTCTTGTAGCTCCAGCCACAGCGCCATCTCCGCCCCCGTATACACGCGCGCAGAGCCCCTCCTCAGATACGCCTTCCTCCACGCCCACTTCCGCCACTCCAGTCTCCTCCCCGGAACCATCTCCCTCCTGGAAACCACGGGGTGCAGGGGGCGGGGCAAGGGCAAAGGCCCAGACCAACATCCGCCAAGATGGCCGCGCCCATAAGGCCCAGGCCACCGAGGCCTACTCCGCCTGCCGGCACCCTCACTCTGACTGTCACTGGGCGCCGTACTCCCCGGAAGAGCCATCTGATGCTCCGGATATCTGGAGAGCCTTCCGGGAAGAGGCGGCATCCGCCAAAGACACGGAGTTTTTACGGGCTTTTCCTGTATATTATGAGGAGGGTAAACCACCCGAATGGTGTCCAATTTCGTACCCCATGTTAAAAGACATAAAGAAAGCCATCGTGGAGTACGGGTTGGGCACCCCCTTTACCCTCGGATTGCTCGAATCCTTTTTCTTAGCGTACACATTAATTCCATTTGACGTACGGGCGGTGATGGGAGGATTGCTGACAACCGTACAGGCCTCAGTTTTTGAGGCGGAGTGGAAAAAGCGAGTAGTAACCTTTGTGAACGACCGAATGGAGAGGCGAGGTATCCCCCCATGGCAAGCCATAGACATGCTTTATGGTGAGGGAGATTACGCTCGTAGAGGGGATCACAATTAGACCCTAAATTGTTAGATAAATCTAAAGAATTGGCATTAGAAGCCCTAAAGAAGGTGGCCGACGCTTATGTGCCGACCCCCTCCTTTACAATGATTAATCAGGGCATAAAAGAACCATTCACAGAATTTATAACTCGGCTGAAAGAGGCTATTGCCCGGCAAGTTCCTCAAAAAGAATGCCAGGAAGTTTTGTTTAATAAATTGGTCATCGAAAAGGCTAATGAGGACTGCCAAAAAGCGCTTAAGCTTTTAAAAGATCCCACTCTACTAGATATGATAGAAGCGTGCAAAAATATAGGATCGAACTCTCATAAAGCACGTCTAATGGTTGCCGCATTTTCTGGTCCCAATCATTGTTTCGAATGTGGGGAAAAGGGACACTTTAAAAAACATTGTCCAAAGTTGTCTCAATCCACACCCGACTTACCCAATACCTTATGTCGCAGGTGCGGGAAGGGACGACACTGGACTTCCAGTTGCCGATCCCTCACAAATATTAACGGTGAGCCTCTCCCTCCGCACCGTTCACCTAGGTTGCGAAAGTGAGTGACCTTCTCGTCACTACCGGACCTTCGGTCATGTGAGTGTGGGCCGTCGGGAAACGGGGAGCTGAGTGCTCGGGGGAGCGCGATGACACAAGTTGCCCCCCACGTGCGCTCGATTCTGCGCCAACCATCGTGCCCAGCTACCCCGTGATTCGGCGGCCGCTCCCTGACCCGGTCCCGGTGGCGAACCAGTGTTCTCCACTCCCCTGGGTCATCCTGTCGGTTGTTCACCCCTCCCTTCACCTCAGCTCATATGAACAACTTGCCAGAGTCGAACCATCAACAACGGTTGACCCTGATGCTACCTATTTAATCACTTCACACTTTTCAGCAGTGCATAAGGGCATTATGGTGGTACCTACTCTTCTGACTGGGCTTACGGGCACTAACATCGCTGTCTGTCTATATGTTCATACCCCCCCTGTGCAGCTGGAGGACCGCTCTCCCGTGGCCAAGATGATATCTATGGACGACTTGCTGCGCGTGCTGTCTTTTGACGAGGAGCAGAGGAGGAAGGACAACAAGGAAGTCCTATGGTCAATGACTGTTGAATCCTCTCGCCCTCTATTAACATGTTTAATT